TTGGAAATTACCAATGACTGTGTGAACTATGATTTCGTCATTGCATCGAAAATGTTGTGCTATTAAAAATTTTCTGAATTGTTGTGTGGCACCGCGAAGCTCAGCCAGTCCTCCAGCCCCACCGCTGGCGGATGCCTGCAGCCCTGTGGCGTCTTCGAGGAGTCCCTGTGACGTCGAGCTCCGCCTCCGGCCTCTGTTCTCTTTGCTCCATCTCGGCCTGTCGGCTCCGTCTTGGCTCCTCCCTCCTTCGGCTCCACCGGAGACCCTCGGCCTTGCGGTTCCACCTGGTTCCCTCATCCACACCTGCAAAACAATCGCTGTTTTCTTGGTCAATTGGGTCATTTACGTGAATCGCATAGAACCGAGAGTTTTTTTTTTTTGGGGGGGGGGGGGGTAATTATTGGATAATTCTTATAATTGACATTTCTCTGGGCCAATCGGAATCTTAGCACTTTTTCTCTTGGCCAATCGGAATCTTAGTACTTGCATCAGAATCTTGAAGCACACAGCGTCAGCTGAGCTCGCCATTGGATGAGACACCTGGCTACCACGTGAGTCTGATGGAAACTCATAACGTGAAGGAATCTTATGTGAAATTCGAGGTAAGTCAAGCTTTTTGGAGCAAAAACAACAGCTATTTGTTTGCTTGATTCTATTAACGTTAGCTACCGCTTTTTTATGTGATATAATTTACAATAATATTATATTGTCGTCATACCTACACTGTAAAAAAAAAAATCCTAATTTTACAGAAAATAACTGTGATTTTTTGACGATCATTTTCTTTCATTTTAAATTGTACTCAAAACACTGTAAAATTACAAATAATATCTGTAAAATAAAAATTCAGCTGTTATTTTAGGTATTGTGACATTAATGACAAATTGCAGTAATTCACATTTTTTATACAGGAAATTGATTGTATTTTTCATACAGTATTTTTTCTGTTTTCTTAAATTACATAAAAATGTATGTAAAATTACAAATATAATCTGTAATTAAACAGTAACAAAACAGTTAAATGATAAAACGGTCAAATGACTGGCAGACCCCCAAAAACTGTAACATTAAAGTAAAAAATCCTAAATTAAATAAACTGAAAAACACTGTGATAATTCAGGATATACCTGTAAAATAACAATCATATACCTTCAGTGAAAAAAAAATCGTAAAAAAAGGGTCAAATGACTGACTACGGCTGCCAAACAAAAACCATAAAATTAAAGTAAAATCTTATAATTCAAATAAAACAAAAAAACACTGTTATTTCACAGGTATTTCCTGCATTATTATGATCATATACCTTCATTGTAAAAAAAATCGTAAAAAAAAGGGTCAAATGACTGGCAGCTATGGCTGCCAAACAAAAACCATATAATTAAAGTAAAATATCCTAATTTAAATAAAGTGCAAAAAACTTTAATAGAAATGTGATGTCACCATGATTGAGATCAGTGTTTGCTTTAGTAGGGCTCATGACTCTTGTGTTTCAACATTATATTTTCTCTGGCTGCCTTAACTGTGTTTTGATGCACATTTATTATGGCAATATTTGCAAGAGAAAATATAAGATGATTTTATAGTCATCATATGATGATCTGATTCATTGGTATGACAGTCAAATCTCTATTAGCTGTGAATACATTATATGTAGATAGACTTTAGTGTAATACAAAGGCAATTATTATCATACTTTTTTCACATGATTTGTTGAAATATTGTGGGATCAGTATTATTGCAATCTCAAAAAAAAAATACATATATATTCTACATACATTTTTTTGAGTTGGTTTATTTTGTTAGGAGTATAGAGACATCAAGAATCAACATATGAATCTCAACAATGGTGACAATCAACAAAGCCTTTTTGTGACTTTATAATAGGTCAGATTTTTTTTATTGTCACCATTGTTGAGATTCATATGCTAATTCTTGATGTCTGAGTGAGTCTGTATGATCCTGTCAAAACATTGTTTGCATAATGACTTCATAAAATCTTATATAACAGCATTGTAGGATATTCTATAGCAATACTGCCATTCAAAATTAACAATTAACATTTTACAACTTAATCAGTCATTAAAAAGTCATACCAATCAGGTGGTTTCAATACAGCAGACAACTGCTTGATGAATATTATCACTATTAAGTGACCAACATCGTCTGATCTGAGTTTCTCTTGATTTCCTACACTAACAAATATGCATCAAAGACACACAGTTAAAGCAGCCAGAGAAAAACTAACGTCAATATCTGAAGGGTCAAGAGCCCAACTAAAGCCAACACTGACCTCTATCATGGTGACATCAAACTTTATTATTTTCAATAAAATATCAACTTCTAAACCTCTGTTATTTCTCAATAAGAATGTTAGTATGAAAAAAGGATTGTAATAAGTGAAGATGCTGAGATTTTGACAGATCTGTTAGTGTTTAATGTTCTGTTGGGATGTAAAGTGTTTCTGTATGGTGTGTTTTGTGTCTGTCACCATTGTGTTGAAGAGTAGAGCCTGTGATTCAGTCCAGGATGAGCAGAGTAACACTGATGAAATGCTGTGTGTTGCTTTATTTAACCGACAGTAACTGTGTAGTTGCTGATGACGTATAATCACAGTAAATCATGCATGTAGTTTATAGCAAGATATTTACTTTTTACAGTGAATATGTTTTTTGGTAAAAATTCAGTAAATATATATATATATATGTGAAATAACTGTGTTTCTGTTAAAAAGCTTAATGAAGAATTCTGCAATAGTATTTATTATTTAAATTAGGATATTTTACATTCATTTTATGTTTTTTTGTATGGCAGCCATTGCTGACAGTCATTTGACCTTTTTTTCACAGTGAAGGTGTTTGATCATAATAATTTAGGAAATAACTGTAAAATAACAGTGTTTTTCTGTAAAACATTTAAGGACAAAGTTTGGAAAAGTTTTTTGCACTCAATTTAAATTAGGATATTTTACTTTATTTTTACGGTTTTTGTTTGGCAGCCGTAGCTGCCAGTCATTGACCGTTTTTTTACGATTTTATTTTTTACAGTGTATGAATTACTAGCCTGGATGCCAGCCCGAACCCCGCCCACAACATTTTTGGTCGGGAAATTCGGTCTGGACTTGATCCGTTGAGGAGTAATTATGATCGGTTCAGAATTAGTTGGGCCAATCAAATTGCCAGGGCGGGCTTTATACGATGATGGACAGATGATCTGCTGTTACGTAATCATCACGTTATCAAAGAGCGCTTGGGTTGAACTGGTTTCCCTCAAAGTTGACTGCAGCTGGAGAATTGAGATGTATAGATTCCGCTATTGCGTCTGTTGTAAAAGAAATCGACAGCGAATTCATTTTAAAAGACGAACAGAGAACTGCAATCAAGGCATTTGTCGATCGGAAAGATGTGTTTGCCGTCCTTCCTACGGGATTCGGCAAAAGTTTAATTTATCAGCTGGCTCCGATGGTCTCTAAGAAGATGGGACGCAATGAAAACCCTGTCGTTGTGGTTTCTCCTTTGGTCGCACTCATGGAGGACCAAGTAAAAGAAGCAACACTCATTATTTTACTACTTCTTCTAGCGTGCGTGTTGTTGAGTTCTGTTGACAACTTTGCGTAGCTCATAAAAAAACACTTACTGCGTTGTTCTGATTGGTTGTAGGTCTATCCAATTGAGTGCAGAGTTTTTTTTTTTTTCCTGGTTCGGTTAAGACACGCCTCATAATCAAAGCCCTATGGAGCAGTATCAGACTCACATTCTGACTAGAATATGAGTATGACAAAGTCAGGCTAATGAATTACGTTAAGCTATGCTAAAAGTGGTACCGCCAGACCCGGAGATCGGCTGAATGGTTTCCAAAACGGTAAAAAACAATTGTTTTACTCGAGGGGAGGTGGAAAATGAGCTTAATTCCCCAAATGGTGGAATATCCCTGTAACGTTAGCTAGGCTTATCGTTAGCTGGGTGCTCTGCCCTGAGTTCCGAGATATACGGCTACTACTCTAATTCTGAGCTACCCTGAATATTAGGCTGTCGTGAGCGCTCACGCGTTAGGCAGTCATTCATGATGTGGGTAAGTTAAATGTGAGTGTACACAACAGCTGATGCGAGAGTAAGTGTAAAGTGTAACTCTTTAAGCCTCAAGGATGTTTTGACATTGATTTTTGATAAGTATGCTGATTTTTGTTAATTCACGCTCAGAAATGTGTCATTTGCATATTAAAATCACAAAAAATCAAGCTGGGGGCAGCTTCATCACAGCTGTTCGTCATTTATTTAATCGTCACTGTGTATTTAGTTCATGACATCTGCTGTTCTGCTGAGTTGTCCGGGTATTGTTTGTGCATAGCACACTGTCTGGCACTGCATTGTTTAAATAAACCCTGTTAATACCTAATTTTCTTCTTCTTCTTCCTTGGATTACAGCCTTACAGTTTTCACACAAAATGAACCTCTCTTAACAAAATTACTTAAGAAGCACAACTATGTAAGATAAGATTCAAAGTTAAGTTTGAAATAAAAAAAGACAAACTTCAAGATATGTTTTTTGAAAATAAACTTTTTGCTTCATATATTTTTGTTTCTCACTTATCTCATCTATGCAATTTTTTTTAGTTTTGACATAACTAAGCCATGCTAACCAGCCTGCTGAAAATTAACCTGTTTAGTGATAGATCAATATTTATCATTGTTTCTGATATGCTGGAACAAAACGCAATGTCTTGCAAGATGAAATGCTGTTAATCTTTGCAATTTGCCAGATCTAAAGCAATTATTCCACATAAATGACAACATATTTGATGTACAAAAGCTTTGTAAATGATTCTTGTTTTTTCTGTACCTATTAGTTCAATAATAAAAAATAGTATACTTGAAAAAATATAACTGTTGCTTTAACTGTAATCTACTGTGCATTTACACCATGATTTACACCAACAACATTGGATTGTGTCCTAGTTTTTAAGTCTCCACCTTCAAGACCAGACGTAGCCACTCCCTCTGTCAACATGGCTTTCATGGAAGCATTTCTTCAGGTTTCCAGCACAGGAACATTAATATGTTGCTTGCTTCTGCTCTTGGTTGTTTATCTCCTATTCTTCAGGTCTCAGAGAGATGAAAATGAACCTCCAGGGCCAAAACCATTGCCACTTTTGGGAAATCTGCTAATGTTGGATATCAACAAACCACACTTGAGCCTATGTGAGGTAAGTATGAATGGTATCAGCCCTATTGGGCAACCGCTTCAGCTTTGTTTCCAGTGTTCAATCAGCAGAGAGCCTCGAAGTGTTGATAAACTGGCCTGGTGAGTTTTTACGGAGAACAATTGCCCAATGGGGCGGCAGTGGCTCAGTGGTTCATGTAGGTTGTCTACAAACCGGAAGGTTGGTGGTTCAATCCCTGGTTCCACCTGACCAAGTGTCGAGGTGTCCATGAGCAAGACACCAAACCCTAGCTGCTCCCGACGAGCTGGATGGCGCCTTGCATGGCTGACACCGCCGTCGGTGTATGAGTGAGTGAGTGAGTGAGTGAGTGAATGGGTGAATGGGTGAATGTGAGGCAAATTGTAAAGCGCTTTGGTGGCCATTGGGTCTGTGAAAGCGCTATATAAATACAGTCCATTTACCATTTATATATATATTTATAACAATTCTGTTTTTTTCCACAGAGAAAAAATTCAATAGATTAGTTAGTTAGTTAATTAGTTAAAGTTTATTTCGGTCAACTTCAAAAGAAAAGGCAAAAAAGAAAAACAATTTACAAACATTCATGGAAACATAAATTAAATTACAATGTAAACAATTGTAAGAAAAAATAAAGTGGACGTCGAAGATCTCAAAAATGAAGTTTATTACAGCATAGCAGTGGCAAGGCACACGAAGCACCTTGGGTTCACCGGCGTCAGAATGAACCCCGAAATAATCTCAGCTCAAACATTTTATACAGTATTCCATTCGTCTTCCCCCTCAGCATGTAAATGAAGTACAAGAGTCAGCCCATTTCCACAGTCCTGATCTTATCAACATAACAGTCTCATTCACATCTTGATGATAATCCAATCAGCCCAACTGATTCTTTTAACTTACAATAGGGAGAACAGGACTGGCAGAACTCTCATGCTTAACAGGGGACATCATCATCACAACTCCAAAGTGCAAAACACAATGTACATCACTTCTATGTAGAACGGTCAAATGTTAAGGTGATAACTTTTATTTGAACTCCCTGTAATCAAGATGGTTCTTGATTGCCTGCTGTCGCCCCCATGCTATAGGTGATAACCGTGACTCTGTGCATATTACTGAGATTGGAATGAATTGTCTCTATGATAAATAAGCTCTTTTAGTGAAGGAACATTTACATATATATATTGGAGTGGAAGTTGGATCGGAGCAGACTATAATTTCTTACAGTCCCCCCTTTGATGCTCTTGGCCCATAAGAAGCATCACATCCACTCCCTTTTCATAGATAACACCTCCCTTCCCTGGTGGGCAGGTGCCCAGTGGCGGTGCACTCAAAAAAATGATATGTTGGCTTTACTTAACTTTTTTTTGTAAACAGGTTCCACCGGTTCCACATAACTATGTTTCGTTAAACAAACATAATATGTTCATGTAACTTCAACATCATGGAATTTGGTCATTTTAAGCGACCCAATTAAACTCTGAGCTAATGAGTTAATTAAGTGAATAATTGAGTGATGATTGAGCATTATTGAAGACACCTGATGTTAACAAGCAGAATCTCTGAAGGAGAAAACCGGAATGTTTAAGTCACCATTATGGAGATAAGTATTCGTTTTAGTTGGGCGCTTGACCATTAACTTATTAACTTTAGATTTTGTTTGGTTGCTGTACATGAGTTATAACAGCCGGATGAACAATAAACAAAGGTCATCTGTTGGTGTTGGTTGTGTTTTAACATAATCATTATTTTATATTCATTTGACCTGAGTTACTGAACTTATATTAAACCGAATTTCTGAGTTAAGTTTACGGATAATAGCAGCACTGTCATTGTACAGCATACTATTTTTTTTACTTTTCAATGAAATTCAAATGATCAAATCAATAAATAAAAAAGAAACTTCCTAAAAAATATTTTCAGTAGACACACACAGACATCAAGAATCAGCCTGTAAATCTCACCGATGGTGACAATTATAAAGCATGTTGTTGTGCATTCTGGGTGCCACCAATCAAAACTCATTCATGGCTCCCATCATGCATTGCTGCATGAATAAATAATGAGCTTATGATCTGTTTGTCACCATTGCTGAGATTCATATGCTGATTCTTGATGTCTGTGTGTGCCTATTCTAAATATTTTTTGGAAAGTTTATTTTTTATTTCTTGATTTGGTCATTTGAATTTCATTGAAAAATCAAAAAATAGTATGCTCTACAATGACAGTGCTGTTATTATCCATAAGGTAAACTTAACTCAGAAATTCGGTTTAATATAAGTTCAGTGACTCAGGTCAAATGATTGTGAAATAATTATTATGTTAAAACACAACCAATACCATCAGATGACCTTTGTTTATTGTTCATCCGGCTGTTGTAACTCATGCACAGCAACCAAACAAAATCTAAAGTTAATAAGTTAATGGTCAAGAGCCCAACTAAAACACACACTTATCTCCATAATGGTGACTTAAACATTCCGGTTTTCTCCTTCAGAGATTCTGCTTGTTAACATCAGGTGTCTTCAATAATGCTCAATCATCACTCGGTTATTCACTTAATTAACTCATTAGCTCAGAGTTTAATTGGGTCGCTTAAAATGACCAAATTCCATGATGTTGAAGTTACATGAACTTATTATGTTTGTTTAACGAAACATAGTTATGTGGAACCGGTGGAACCTGTTTACAAAAAAAAGTTAAGTAAAGCCAACATATCATTTTTTTGAGTGTGAAGCCCTGGCTTAGGTTGTCCCCCTATGGCCATCGGAGAATCTTACCCGTCGTTGGGTCGACACCTCATGCACACTGGTTACAGCTCTACTTCACTTGAGCAGAACTATCATAGTTTGCGTTGTTAAGAAATTATTATTATTTTTTTTTTTTTTAGGGTTTGAAAGAGGTAATCAAGAACCATCACATCCAACGGGAATGTCCAATATTCAGTTCAGTTCAACTGAAGTTCAATTCAGTTCAGAGTTCAGAGTTCAATTCAGTTCAGTTCAGGACAGACTGCTGTCCAATATTGATCATAGAATTATCTTCAATCTGACGTTTCAACATGGAACACGTACAGCATAACAATGCACTGACCGATTATAAAAATGATACACAAACAGCAGTTTTAAAGGTCATGCATTTGTTATTTGCATAACTCAAACAATCAATAGACAGTATAATGTGTGTGTGTGTGTGTGTGGTTTTTCATTTTGTCATGTGTTTTGTGTCCATTTTCTCAGTGTGGACATCCTTTATCCACTTGTTTTTCCTCTATGTGGAAAGACTGCTGTCCGTAGTCTCTGCAATGGTTTGTTTCTGAAATCTCCTCTTATTTCTCTTCTCATTGTCCATTCTTTTCCACTTGGATCATAAGTCCTTCTAGAAGAAGCAGTCACTGCACTGTAAAAAATATTTTAGCAATTTAGTTATTTCAACTTATTTTTTTGAGTAGAGATAACTAGATTGTCCAGACAACAAGAAATTTTAAGTTTTCTTGTTCTCAACTAGACTGAAAGTTGAATGAACAAATCAAATTGTTATTTTAACTAAAAAATGTATGTTTAAACAACTGCACTAGATTTTCTGTTGAATTAACAAATATACTTGTTATTTTAACTTATAAATGTAAGTTGAAACAACTTCACTACATTTTCTGCAGGTTTTACTTCAATTATACTCTAATGCTTTGATATTAAACTAAAGTTAATTTATCTATCTATCTTGCTGTCTGGTAGACTGTATGGTCTTAAAACCTAAACTTCAAGCTTTTAAAACCGCTTCAAAAATAAATCCTCAACTTCAACAATGTTTTTACAATATGAGCACAGATTCATTAAATTACACAAAAAAAATTCTAGCCGCTTTAGTTTTTATTCATGGTCAGATTTAATCCATAATGGGCGGATTTGAGCGATTCGTTAAAATGAACCGCTCAAGATGATTCGCTGAATCATTTTTTTCTCTGAGAATTTTCGAGAGAAGCCAGTGGAAACATTTTCCATGTTGGACCTTACATGTGTCTTCAGAAGAAATACACTGATACAGAGTAAGTGTGACATTTTATATTGTGAAAGTGATTGTTACGAGTTTTTAGTTCGTAATAAGCGTTTATAGTCTTGTGTTAACAAATAATATAAAAATAAATCATTCATTAAATTCATAAGTGCAAATGAACATTAGTAAAATAAATTTTTTCAGAATTATTCACAGCAAAAACTCCAGTGTTAAATTAACTCTCCTGGGAGTGTATATGGCTTGTTAAAGTTGGGAGTGTTAAAGTTAAAGAGCTAATTAAGTGATCCATTGATGATTGACCATTATTGAAGACACCTGATGTTAACAAGCAGAATCACCAAAGGAGAAAATCTATTTTACAAGCCACCATTATGGCGATTAGTGTTTGCTTTAGTTGGTCTCGTGAGCCTTAAACTGTTAACATTATATTTTGTTTTGGTTGTTGTACTTGAGTTATAACTGCCAGATGATCGAAGAGAAAAGATGATCTGACGGTGTTGGTTATGTTTTGACATAATCATCACTTGACTTGCATCACAAAACTCATTTAGAGCCTAATCTCTGACTTTAAATGTATAATGTTGATTACAACATCACAGTGATTCTACAGTACAAAATCTAGAAATTTCTACACAATCCAAAAGATTTCTTAAAAGTTGTTTTAATAAAAAAAAAAGAAAACATTTTGTGCCTAAAAAAACTTTTTTTTTTTTAGGCACAGACATAAAGAATCAGTGTATTAATCTCAACAATGGTGACAAACTGAATATTTAATTAGAAAAAGGATATTACTAAGACATTTCAGATCATAATTTATTCATACCGCAATGTATGATGGGAGCCATGAGTGAGTTTTGATTGGTGGCACCCAAAATACACTGCAACATGCTTTATTATTGTCACCATTGTTGAGATTCACAGGCTGATTATTGATGTCAGTGTGTCTAAATAAAATGATTTTTCAGAGTGTTTTGATCAGAAAAACTTTTAAGAAATATTTGGACTAT